CACGCGCACCATTGTGGTGGAGTGGATTCTCAAACGACGTAGAAGATCCACAAACACACACAGCGCCGGACTGCCGACTTACGGAGGGGGTACCCCGATACCGTGTCGTATTGGCCTTGGGTCTCACCTTGTGTACCCGTCGGCTTGGCTGGTCTTGCTCCTCGGTTGACGTAGAAGACTTAAACTTGGTCTTTGTATAAGACTTGGACTTGGTGGTCCCCGAGTGGATATACTTCACTTGGGACCGGGTTTCTTGGGCTCAATCGACTTAGTCGAGAGCGATGCACCTGGTACTATGTACCCCTTTGGTGGCTGACTGTTCTTGGTCCTTGGACCCCTTTATGTTCTTCCCCGTAGGGAAACCGCTTCCTGTAGCGGGTCGTAGAGTGTTGACACTTACTTGACACCTCAGGCCAACTATCCTGAGGTTCAACTTGCGTTGCTTGAGCCGTCTAACACCTGCTGGACGTCGAGGGGCCAAAGGGTATCCCGCCCGGAAGAGGTGTAGCGACGGAGAAGCTTAGGAGGGGCGCTTAAAGCTGCCACGTGTAATGCAAATTCGAGTGTGTTTATTTATCTTATACTCTGTATGCTTTTCTTGCCAAACCCTAACCCTTTGATCTGGATAGTGTCACGTGTCAACTTGTGGAAGAACAACTGGCTCTTTTAGGACATGGGGCTTGTACCGGCTCTGCACTTTAAGGAAGCCTTGTGCCTTCTATTCCCTGGGGTCCACCGGTCACCTGGGTCCACCGGTCACGTAGGTCCACCGGTCACCTGGGTCCACCTGTTGTCCGGGGTCCACCTGTCACGGGGGGTCCATCTATCACCTGAGATCCACCAGTCGCCTGGGGTCCACTGGTCACCTGGGCCCACCGGTCACCTGGGTCAACCTGTGACCTGGGGTCCACCGGTCACCTGGGTCCACCTGTTGTCTGGGGTCCTCCTGTTACCTGGGGTCCACCGGTCACCTGGGTCAACCTGTCACCTGGGTCAACTGTCACTGGGGGGTCAATCTGTTACCTGGGGTCCACCGGTCACCTGGGTCCAACAGTCACCTGGGTCCACCTATCGCCTGGGGTCCACCTGTCACATGGGACCCACCAGTCGCCTGGGGTCCACTGGTCACCTGGGTCCACCGGTCACCTGGGTCATCCTGTCACCTGGGGTCCACCGGTCACCTGGGTCCACCTGTTGTCTGGGACTCACCTGTTACCTGGGGTCCACCTAAGCTGCCCTAGCAGCACTAGTCCTTTGGTCTGTAGTGTAGGACATCCTAGTACCTTCTCCGAACTCGGGACCTTGGACCAGTTCGGGGCCCTGGTCACTCCCTGTCACTCATTTAAGAGAGTGACCGAGATCTTTCACGCCAGTTATTATAATAACTTCGAAGGGCCCCCCCCCATTTCTCTGGCACTTCTCCACAGTTGGGCCCCGGTACCCTGCACTCTGTACCCAGGTCCCTGATACCCTGGGCTCTTGTACCCTGTGCTCTTCGACCTTGGAGCCTGTACTGTCTCTGCACGTAGAAATACCTTGTACCTTCTTTGAACTTAGGACCTTGGACCACCTCGGGGCACTGGACCCTTCGAATCCTGGTGTGCGCCCGGTAGGGTAACCTTGTACCTTTGACCCTGGACGTTCGATACCCCTGTCTCCGATATATGGTACCCCTGTCCCTGGTGCCCTGTCCCTGGTTACTAGAAACCCTGTCCCCGGTAGCTGGTACTCTGTCCCTGGTGCCCTGTCCCTGGTGACTGATACCCTTGTCCCCGGTTGCTAGAAACCCTGTCCCCGGTAACTGGTATCCCTGTCCCCGGTAACCTGGACGTTCGATACCCCTGTCCCCGGTAGCTGGTACCCCTGTCCTTGGAGCCCTGTCCCTGGTGACTGATACCCTTGTCCCCGGTTACTAGAAACCCTGTCCTCGGTCACTGGTAGCCCTGTCCCCGGTAACTGAAGACCCTGTTCCTGGTGACTAGTACTCCGGTCCCTGGTACTGGAAACCGTGTCCCTGGTGACCCTCGATTGAACCTTGGGACCTTGCGAGGCCTGGGCCCTTGTACCCTGGGGCCCCTGTACCCTGGGCCCCGATTCTCCTGGCCACTTCACCACACTCACTCTCCCACCGTATATGAAGACGAACCCCGTATTTTACGTGGGTCGTCTATATCGGTATATGGATTCACAAGAGATCATATATCCACATCGGTCTAATGATACCGACGGTGACGTCAACTGTGAGTCGAGCGTCGCGGTCGATCAGGCGACGAGAAAGCCGAGAGGCTCCCCGTATACAAACGAGGCGATAGAGGACTCGGAGATCGAGGAGGACTCCGCGCTTGACGTGGGTCTCTCATCACCAGTCGCTCTAAAATGTCCAAGCGGGTCTTTAGGCGGTCATACCCCTGACGATCCCTTGCCCTCACATCGCGCAGATCCGAGGTCAGTCGCGAGACTTGACTCTCGAGATCTGTCACCTGCCTCTTCATCGCAGCGGACTCAGCCTGCGACTGAACAGCAGCAGGGTAGGCATCCGCAAGTAGGTGGGCGTAATCGCCGCTCCTATCGGGCGCCAGCTGTGTTGGTGAACATGGAAGGGAATACGCGCTTCCTTGTTGGAAGGCTGTTGGCCCACCAATTTGTGAAGCGAAAGCTCCAAATCCTTGTCCAGTGGAAGGGGTATCCAACAAGCTTTGACTCGTGGGAGCCTGTGGACGCTTTGCGCGTTGACGTGCCTGGGCTGGTGACTGCTTATGTGAAGCAGCACCAGCTGTCTTCTTTCTGCTAGGTCCGGAAGGACTAGCAGAAGAAGCGTGGCGAGAATTAATTGGGGGTCGCTTACCACCCAAAAGTTCATGCGCACGCTTCATGGCGAAGCTGATTCGCTGCGACCGTTGTTTCGTTGCATCTTCATGCAAGGTAACACGGCGCCGAAGTTCAGCTTCATAGTCGTCGGCTGTTTCGTTAGAACGCAGCACGACTGGAATTGGGAAAGCACGACCAAGTGATTTGCCCTGCCTTTTCCACAAGGGAAAGACGCTATAAAATCTATGAGCGTCTATAGTGGCACGCTGCAAAAGCGCTGCGCTAGACCCATCCGAGTTCATCCACTCAGATGGAGGTGACATTGGTGGCAAGACACCACTCACGTAGCCGCCCTCGCGACGGCGGGCTAGAGGCCGACGGTGTACTTGGCGGAGCTTTAAGCTCATAATCAACTGAGTCTGACTCTCCATTATGGATTGTCAAGACATCAGCTTGAGAAGTCACATCTGACTGAGTCGCGACTACTCCTTTCGAAGTAGCGTATCTCAGTCTTATTCGCTGCGCTCGTAGGCGCAGACGACGGGATTTTACCTTCGCTTGTAGGAAGCATAGATGCTCCCTCAAGGACGGGTGCCTCAAATGATGGGGACATATGTCCCATCAATGCACTATGCTCATCGCCACTTTGGGGTGATGGCAGTGGTGTGGTCTCATTGTAGTCTACAATGAGAGATGGATCTTCATCCACATTATCGTGAGATGGAAGATCCACCCCAGTGCCTGAAGCACTTTGCGACGGCTGCGAATCATCGCGGCGCGTGCGCTTAGTGCTGGACTGCATGGGTGCCTTCGCATGCGACCCGTCAACCTTACCACGTTTCGGTGGCATGAGAATTGAGCAGACTAAAGCGGCGCGTTTATAACGGCTCGCAAGTCTCTCTGTCTCCTAGGCGATGTTTTACAAGATGTAAACATCGTTCTAAAACGGGGGATGGTGTAACAGAGCATCTAGCTACACGTAAACACTAAGTAATATACTTAATGTTTGGTCTAAAGTATCCATGATTACTTTTGACCTGTCACTTGGGGTCGATACACAAATGTGATCGACCCTCGTGAATGTGATATAAAATGATGGATTCACATGAGAAGGGATGACGCTAGTTGAAGCTAGGCATCGCGACGTCTCATAAGGACGTCAGTTGCGATCTTAAATCTAGATTTAAGTTCATGCGACAGGATACGCTTCTAAAGAGTCGCGTATCCGATCTATGTATATATAGCCAATCAGTAGTTAAGTATATATTTAGTTATAATTCATTAAATATAGCTCAGTCTTGAGTTTGCTTAAACATACGCACCACGCACGAGAAGCTGAAAAGCTTCTGCGTGACGTCGGTTTTTCTTGTTAAGAAGTTCGTTGCACTCTCGCTTAAGCGAGAGGCAACTGGTGGTACGACTGCTTAAGCAGTCGACCAACCTCCTAACCACCCTCGCACGCGGAGGTAAGACGGTCTAACCGCTTCCTCGCTTGTGCATAAGGTGTGCTCGTAGTACGAGGCAACTTCGTAGAAGTGCCCGTCTACATTACAGATCTAGGATGCATCGAACGGCCTATGCAACGGCATTCGTCTCATAGTTGCCGGTGTGATCAAAGCTGTAGTTTTGACGGAAGCTCACACCGGACACGTGTGCTTCATCCCAAGGATTGCGTTGATTCATAAGCAACCAGACCTTTCGTGCGTTGTTCGGCGGAATCAGTTTTCGTGCACTTGGGGTACGCAATGACAATTAACAAGTCCCAGGGACAGACATCAGTATAAGGTTTGCAAAAGACATGTCCTTGCATGGTCAGCTTTACGTTGCCTTCTCGCGTGCGACGGAAATACAGAAAGTGTCGGTACTTTTAGAAACAGTCTCCGTGATGTGTCGGCTGCTGCTCAATGTTGTATTTAGCTGCGTTAAGGATGCTTATACACCAAGCAGATATACTATCAGCGTAGGCTTCGCGCACCTGTCGGTTGGAACGACGATCATACACCCTATTCAAATCAAAAGTTGGGGTGTGCGTTGGTTAGCAAGAAGATACGTGATAATCAACGTCTTCTTTTATATTTAATTTTTCCTCTAATGGCTGTTGACATGTAATTCCAAACCTTTGGATAGGAATAAGATGCTTCTCAGCAGGTTCCACGTATTTACCACACAAAAAGGTGACATTTAAGAGCACTATGCACAAGGTGTGGAGCATCGGTTGTCGTCATGCACGGGGTCGTATAATTAATTTGCTAGCATTTTCTTCACGTAGTTCACTTCCAGCTGGTTTTAAAAGTCCACAAGCCGTAGCAGACGCCGTTGCAGCTGCTCTAGCGTCCGAGAGCGACGTGGAGAGAGCTGCCAGAAGGAATCAAGGTCAAGTTCCAGCTGATTCCACTGAATCGGTCAAGATAGAGCGTCGCCATCTAGAAGGCGATGTAATTGCCACCAAGAATATTACAGTAAATCAGTTGCTGAGTCCAAAGATGACATCGGATTGGCAATTGATTAAACCGGAACACTTTGAAAAGGTTCCGAGCCCGATCGACTGGAAGACTGGACTGATGGAGCTCCAAGAACGAATTGGTGTAAAATTTCAGGATTTGACACTGTTGCAAAGTGCAATGACACACCACGGCTGTCTTCCAAATAATGCTGTTCCGGAAGGTGTCCCGGTAGTTCGACTATCAAACCGCAGTCTAGAGTTTCTCGGAGACTCACTGCTCGGTGCAGCAGCGGCGGGTTACGTGTACCAGATGCTACCACATCACCAAGAAGGGCAACTTTCACGGGCTAAATCAGCAATTGTTAATAACGATACGCTGTCCAAGATCAGCGCAGACTTGGGAATTACAAAACTTCTTCTTTGGCCTCCTGGCTTAAATGAGGCGAGCAGTGCACCAGTGGTTATCAAAGGCCGTGTCACGATTGCTGCTGGAGCGGTTGAATCGCTTATTGCAGCCATTTATCTGGATCAGGTATGAAGTGAAAGAATATATTAGTATGGTCCTGTGGTAGCGATTTTGATGATGGATTTGTTTGTGGCTTTACAGGGTATGGAGACAGCACTGAATTTTGTGACTACGCATGTTATTCCTCGATCGGTTGAGTATGCCACGCGTGACGTCATTTGGGAACCTATCGTCGAATTGCAGAACCTTTTGCAGGGACACTACTACGGCCATCCTGTTTACAAGTACGATACTGTTTGGACATAATGCGTGATGCAAGGCTGAGCTCTTGTTTTGTTTTGCGCAGGTATCTGCCAGCCGCGTTAAATGCTTCTGAGTACATTGTGGAGCTCTACGTAAAAGGAAGGGTACGGTCACGCGACGACGATGCCTCTCCTGCTCCTCATACTGACGTCGTTGTCATGCTAACATTATTTCTTGCAGCCAATTCTGAAGGCAGCAGCGCCATCGTACAAGCTGGCGCGAGCGCGTGCAGCGGAGGCTGCTTACTGGCACTTTGAAAAGCTGCTTGGCCCTGCTCCGTAGTGTCCTGTCCTGACTGCTAGACATTAATAGGGATCATTTTTGAATGCAACACCATTTCACAATAATAGATTAAGCAAAGTGAGCTTTTCAAGTATCTTAACGTGAGTGAACCAGCATTGTTCCGTTCGTTTCAGCTTAAAACTCCGCTTCGTCACTAGACTCGCCGTCATCGTCATCGTCTCCGCCATTGGCTGCAGCTGCAGCAACAGGTGGCACATCTCCCGTTGCCGCCGCAATCTCCTTCGACGCCAACGCCATCGCAGCAACAGCCGCACGACGCCGTGAGCGTGGGATGATGTTAGTCGTGTCGACGCCTACAAGATCGTCTTCCGTCATCTTGAGCTCGGGCTCCGATTCATCTCCACTGTCTTCACTGTCGTCGTTGTTTCGCGTCCGCCGCTTCTTCTTTTTTGGAGCCACGTCCTCCTCTTCACTGTCATCCTCTTCCTCATTTTCTTCATCCTCTTCATCTTCATCATCTTCTTCCTCATCGTCTTCTTCTTCCTCCTTCTTGTCTTTACTCTTTGAAATCACCTCATTTTTATCCTCAGTCTTAAAGAAAGACGTGATCTTGGCATCTTCCGGCACCTTGCGCTTTTGTCCAGTGGTTTCCTGTTCAGCACTACGAAAATTTGATACGAAACGACAACACCAATGACATTAGAGACTGCAAAACAACTAGTTACACTGGCTCGAGCGTATGATAAAGGGTCCTTACGGTTTAGCTACATCTTTTTCATTGCTCCCCATGCTGCAGTAGGTACTGATAATACGAAAGAGATTACAAAATGTGGCTGCTGTGGATGCTGGAGCTGCTGGCGGACGCAGAGGGCACAGAAGTGAGCGGCGCAGAGACGGTTGGGCTGAGCTGTTGGCTTCAGCGTACCAAACGTGCACCACACTAAAAACTGAGCGGTACAGTGTACCACTTGACTTCAACTTGTCTTTTGTGAAGTCAAATCTTACATGGCTACAAAAACCGACATACGAATAAAATGAGCGGTCACTTTCTACCTGATAGTCCTTCGTCTCGAGCGGTTGTGCTTGTTCTTGATACTAGCTGCGTGAGAGTACATCTACCCGATGTTGCAATCGAATCGGCGGATTTTTGTACGATTTCAAGCGAGCGTGACAGCAAGAAGCTTTTTCTAAGAGGCGCGCGCCCTGTCGGCTTTTTAGCAGCGCATCGTACGAGACAAAAGAGATTGTTTGGCTTCCTCTTTACAATATCACAGACAACAACAAAACTGTAAAATCAAAGTATTTTTGTGCATTGCCGCCCACTTGGCGTACACGTAGACGTTCGACAATGAGATTGCCTGGATCCAGCAGCGCCTGCTGACTGGCAACAAGCGCAAGGTCTCGCTTTGAGCTGTACGCCGTGTTGACAAGGTCCAATAATAATAAGAAGAGTTCCACAATGTGGCGTCTGAGCGAGCTGAGTCAACGCAGATGCAGCTCCTTGTCGCGTTGCGAGCTCAACTCCGTGCTTAAAAGCGAAAAGGAAAATCTTAAACTCGTCGACAGTTTGTCATCTTCTTTCGGCCGACTATAAGCTCTCGAGCATCTAAAAGAAGACATTACAGCAGCGTAAACAAATATAGACTCCACAGCGGAACCACAACACTCGAGTGGATGAACAGCTAAAGGATGTGAATATTGGATTGAAAAGTCGTAGGCGTCTCATGGTGTCCCCAAGCGGTAAACACGGTCGTCTTTTGCAAACTTTCGTCTGTTCAATACGACCGTTGCGTTCACTTGAAGCTCCTCGTTCCAATTCGTTTCGTCTCCAACGTCGTCCACGCTCCTGGTCACCGTCTTCCTGTCGCTTCACTAGCTACTTATTGATTTGTTACCCCAAGCTACCTGTTTCCCTGTTCCCCTCAAATGGATTTCTATCGAGTGTACTTAGTTGGTGGCGGCCTTCTTAGACACAGCGGACGAGCCTTCACGGAAGCCATTCTTGAACTTGCGCTGGACGTTCTTCAGGTGGCGCATACGGCCAGATCCCGTCGTACGACGACGCAGAGCCTTTTGGCTCCAGTTGTCTGCAGATTACATCATTAACATTACCGCAATAAGTAAACACAATTAGGTACTAGGACAAGGCAAGACTCAAAGAGCTACAAACCACACGATGAACATATGAAAACTTACACTTGCGCATCTTGGCAGCAGGGTAACCACACGAAGAGCACGTGCTCTTCTGAATGTGGTAAGAGCTTCGCCCACACCGTCTGCAAATGGTGTGGGTCTTGTTGTGGCGCATGCCAAAACTCTGCGTACCTTTCGTCTACATTGACACAAAAGAATCCGTATTACTGTCAGATCATGTCTCTCACTGCTCCAACAGCTTCAGCTGTGTGTTGCATGAGCTCCTGCACTCCATCTCCGCCTGTTCCGAGCCTCGTTCGATTGCTAAAACTGCTTATTATCAACGATAATGGTCTAATTGACACGTCACTCGCTCAAACGCTGAAGCTGTTGCGAATCCAGCAACGTCAAGACCATAACGATCAAGAGGAGACGGAGAGGAGCACATCTGAAACAGCACTATTGTACATAGAGCCACACAGCCAGAGCTACACATAAAGTCGTACCATCTTGGATTGGGCTTGGGACTTAAACGCGGAGCGGAAGGAAGGGTAAAATAAGTCTACCGGAGGCAGGGAGACTGACGCTGGCCATACAAACCAGCCCTCAAAAGTCAGACCATACAAAGACCTAGTGAATACGAACTTCGCTTCACTCAAACCAACCAAATGCAGGCAGGTTAGGGTAGCAGAAAAGGACGTCTTTTGACGAATCGAAAGCAGATCCGTTGTATAATCGAGACGGTGATTGGACAATTGCTCTGATTGGCCACGAGACGAGAGTGCATGGCATGCGACTAATTCCGAACTTATCAGTTCTTCGCCGACAATGTCCAGATACCATATATCTTGAAACCAATATGTGTCGTCCATTGTTAGCGTTTTGCTTTTATTGATGAGACTACAATAACTTTGTTGCACGAAATCGTTTCGTAAAACTTTATTACATATGAGTCTGATAGTAGTTGACATCGGCAGTCGAAACCGCAAACATAATCATGTCAATGAACCCACACGGGACAAAAAGCCACACACGCTTGGACGAACTCCAACACGCGCGATAGATTTAGCACGGCGGCATTAAATGACAATCTTTGGCTTTTTGGATGCTGATGGCCAAGGTGAGTGCTAATGGGATATACCGTCACGATGCCAGCACAATGTCAGCTACTCTTATATAAATTCCTTTGTCCAATGATCTCCGTCACAGCGATAGAGAAGTAAACAATTGGCAGGTACGATGTGAGGTGATACCCTCACTAATACCGCAAGAACCATTTGCAAGACCGCGCGTAGCGTACAGGTTTGATCAGCATGACTCTTGTTACATTAAATAGCGAAGACACATGTTTGTACTTCGAACAATAACTTGTTGGGGCAGGGCACGCCTGAAGGCTTTGGTCTTGCCACTATCAATACAACACAAATACGAGAGACTGTTAGTTGGTATGGTCCATGGTCATTTGAGCCATTCCTACAGTGCACGTACCGGTCAGCTTACAGGTAGTTGAATGTCTTTTCTTTTAGCTCGTCTAGAGCCCGTATGGTAGTTTGTGGCATCAAAACATGCAGTGGGTTTTCGCATCCATATTGTGGACAGAAAATGGCTACATCGTACCCGAAGGACGTCATGGCTGTGAAGAAGATATATATGGCATCGTCGTTGTCATTGTCTGCAGCTGGTTTGTAGCGTTCATTTAACTTATTGATTATTGCAACAGTGGGCCGAAGCAAAATGCATTTAAACTGCCAACATTTTGTTGTCACGCTGGCAAAACGTTTCTTTCAGTACAACCGTTTTCGAGACACCTTTATCCCATCCGTTTCTATACAATGAATCAGCGCCTTGGCCGCATACGCGTCGGCCTACTGGAAAAAGCATCTGATCGGACGAGCTGGATACCACCAAAAAAAGATGCGGTGCGGTGTATTTGCCTTGCGATAGCTTCTAGATCGTCCATCTAGCAGTAAATTTCGTCAATTACCAGAACGTGCGCCAGCTTTCAACCGAGCGACAGCATCTTTCTTGTGCATGCTCTGTGTCAACAATTCCAATCTCGACGTGTGAGCTCACGAATCGATACCCGCGACGTGATAAAGAGTCAACCCCCTTAAAATTGTACGCAGCGATATATGTCCTGGCAGTTGCAAACATTTCCCAATCGTGTGGCCAACATCGTTTAGCAGGTGCTATAGGAGTAATGTTTTTTTTCAGTGCCAGTGCTCCTAGTGAAAAAAAACGTTCTTGATGTGAGCCACGAAAGTCAGCACGCAATTCTTCTTCACTGTCAGACGTGGCAATGAGGAAGTCACATAGCGTGACATCTTGCATCGTCGTCGTCGCATATCTGTATCTCTCTCGTCCGATCCAGCTGACTGTGGGCAGTTCGTCAGATCTATAAGCGACCTTCGAGAACGCTTGATCCATCTCGTCGATCGTGCGAGATTTCCACTGTAAAAGACCTCCAAATGACCGGTATCGCCGCAGCAGCTTGAGATAGACCTCATACTTGTGTGCTTGAACTTTATCGCCTTGTTGAAGTGATAAGTCATCACTTGTCATCTCCAATTTACCACGCCAACGTATGATTTGATAGTGACTGTAAATACCACAGAACACAAGAAGGCAAACAGCTAGCATTAATCAGAATAGTGTCTTACTCTCGCTCTCATGTACAAGGTTGTAGAGATGTTACGTACGACCAGTACGTTCATTGTAACAACGTATTGACATACTTTTTTAAACATTTGAAAAGTGAATATTTAACTCGAAAAAACAAAGTATCAATTGTAACAGGTAAACGCACCTATTTATTCCACGACACGACGTCCAATCGTGACGACACACGTTTACATCATCAAATGTACCCAAATGTCCCAACCACTTTCGTGCAACCTTGTTAAGTCTCTTTGTGAAAAAAAGGTCTTTGACACCATTCATCAATCTCCCGTGTAAAGAATGCCTCGAGCTTCCAGCAACATTCGAAAGGGTGAAAGTGCTCAGCGCTTCGTTTTCCTCGACTTGGACTCTCTTCTTGCATCTGTTCGTGCTCATGTCCTAAGTCATGAGTCCCAGTTTCATACAGAACTTGCTCTTTTTTCATCTGATGTTTCCTTAAGCCCCGAGCATCTTACGGTACTTTTAAACGATCAACAACCGGCCAAAATTCAGTGTTGGAAAGGCACATATTGTGCCAATCCCAATGCAGCTGAAGCTAAAGCCCTTCAAGCGGTTCGTACTGATGGTGGTTTTGTCATTAATTGGCAACTTACACAGAAAGGAACCCCACAACATCCTACACTTGAAAAAATGCTTAAACGTCATTTAACCAAGACAACATCATCAGGTGGTGAAAAGACGCTTGTACTCGCTACAGGTGCTCTGTCTACCAGTCTTCGAAGCTGTGTTGAAGCCTATTTGACAGCGCAATGGCACGTTCAACTTGTGACTTTACAATCGTGCTACAAGAAAAGTGACTGGCAATTGAAGGGCTTTGACACGTTGAACGTGAAATTCATTGATAAATATCTTAACAAGTTACTTACAGGACGTCCAGGAGGACGAACAATTTGTGATCATCGAAAAGGGAACACGTCACCGACTCTTCAACCAGAACAACGTTGTACTAGCACGGGAAGCAGCTGTGCTAGTCCAGTTAAAACAGCAGTTGAGACCCCATCAGTTCCACTGGATTATACTCAAGAAAAGAAAGCAGCCATGCTGAGACAAGAAATGGACGATATTCAACGACGTCGAGCTAAACTTGCATCACTCCCTAGTGGAAAATATGCTATTGGCCATCGAAAGCGACATGTCTTTATGAATCTTGACAATATTGCCGGTGCTGTCTGCAATAGTCAATGGCTGTATCAACGTGTAGAAGGCGCTACAAGCGGCTACGACGTACGTCTGAATTTTCGAGAATTGACGGATCGGGTGTGTGGGACGCAAACGACTTATGTAAAACGCAGACTTGCGGCGTATCGAAAGATGCCCCGGGAATTGGCACTGCCATTGCAGGAATTCAACTGGGAAATTAACGCTTTAAGTCAGAGCTTTAGTGGAAATAAAGGACTGTACTATGTACTGCTGGATTTGTTGGAGACTTCTGGATCGGCTAAGCATAGGAATACGCTTGTGCTCGTGATGGGTGATGGTGCTCTTGGAGGGAGTGGAGTGGAACAGAAAGAAGCTACGAAAGAATTGCTGAGTAAATTCCTTGAAAAAAACTGGTTTGTAGAAATCCACTCGTGGTTGCATGCACTGAGTGATTGGTTCCTGGAGATACAGGAACAATATCCGTATCGTGTTGCGGTAAAGCCTTTGGATGATGCTATTAACGGCTTAGTTTACTTAAAGCAAGCAGAAGAAGGGGTGTGGGAGGAACCAGTTTTGTCGGGCAGTCAACATGGATCAACAAATTCAGTACAAGCGAGCTCACCAGTGCTTCGACCTTTAACTGCGCCATCCGCGTGGGACTCTACTACAATTCCCTCTTCATCTTTGTTCCCTACGGCGCCGTTCTTAACGTTGGAGCAGAAGATGGAGCAGAAGATGGGACAGAGAAGAAAGCTGGAAGATGAGCGCAAAGATTTACTCGAACGTTTACGTAAGAATCAAGAAGCGATGGATGTGCTCGAGCTGGAAACGTGGTCGATGCAGATCTTACAGCAGCAAGAGCTAACCCGAGTGGCGCAGCAGGGGAGCGATAAGCATTTGGCCATCCGCATGGCAGAAGAGGAAGAAATGCAGCTGAGGCTTTTGCAAGAGTACGAAAAGTCCCAAGAAGAGGAGCTATGGAATTGGAATTAGTGTGGTAATAATTCAGGTGGGGCATCTATCTCCTGCACATCGAGTTTGTATTCATACACGTTGCCATTAATTTGCAGCTTTTCATTTATTGTCAATCGTTTGTTGGACGCCGTGCGTCTATCCATTCTCTAGAATTCCTTGACAGTCTTTTTGCTTTGTCTGTGTAGTCAGCATGAAGCTAAAAGTTAGCAGTGGACTGCTGGAGCAAGTGCGTACATATGAGGAAGAGCGGAAGCTGATTGACCAGCTACGAGACATTGGTCTCGACGAGTACATCGAATTGCCGCAAATCGCCGTTATGGGGGACACTTCCAGTGGCAAGTCGTCCCTGTTATCGGCACTATCGGGTATCTCTTTCCCATCTTCCGACCAACTCACCACAAGATGCCCCACACGTGTTCTCCTCACACGTGCCGATACCTTTCGTGGTAGTGTGCGTCTAATCCGATTTCAGACGAGTGCCAATGATGGAGGCGAGAACAAGAAACGAGAAGAAATTGAAAGCCTTAATCGCATGGAAGACGTCCCAGATGCTATAACAAAGCTTACCAAGAAACTTGTCTCGGAGGGCCAGTACATCAGCGATGATGAGATTGTCATTGAGATGAGTGGTCCTAACCTACCTAATCTCACGCTCACGGATCTACCAGGACTTGTGCGTACGGTGGGTGATAACGAAGATCAGAGTATTATTTCGAGGATTCGGCAAATTGTCAACAGATACATGCAGCAGGAGCGTACTATCATTCTCGCTGTCGTACCAGCTAATGTGGATATGCATAATACGGAAATACTGCAAGCAGCACAGGAAGCCGATCCGAGTGGTACTCGAACGATCGCTGTGATAACAAAGCTGGATTTGGTGGATACTGGTGCCGAGGTAGGTGTTCATGAATTACTGCTGAACAAGAAGAAGTGCATGAAGCTTGGCTATCATGCCGTCAAATGCCGCAATCAGCTAGAATTGACAAACGGCACGACGATTGAAAAGAGTGTGGTGAATGAGATGTCATTTTTTAGTGAGCATCCGTATTGGCGTCGCCTACCGAACCATTTGTGGGGTGTGTCAAGATTGGTCGAGAGGTTGGTGTCCATCTTGCAAGACAATGTCCGTCGGTCATTGCCGAAGGTTATTGAAGAGATCAACACGCGCATGGTTGAGACGCAATATGCATTGTCAAGTCTGGGCTTGGCACTAGAGACACCCGGTGCTCAGCGCCAGCGCTTTGGCAAGTGGGTAAATCAATATTTGCGCATGATGGAAGCTGCAATAAACGGGCAGTATGAACTCTTGCCTCCTAATGCCGTTTCATTCAGTAGTGTCCAGTCGGAAGCACGCTTGCGAGCTGTACTGAGGCAAAAGGACTTGATCTTTCGGGCTGAAATTGAAGCTAAAAAGGCAAATGACGTTCTTGGGACGAGTGATTCGTTGTCGTCAACAAGACCAAGTTCATATGCAGGATTCCAGAAATCAAAAGCTGATGTTGCTGTCGGGGACCGTGTCACTGTGCAAGTTGGGAGACAAAAAGAGGTCGTTTGCAAAGTGGTGAAGACGAACAGTACAGATGTGCTATGCGAAAAATTGCCACACGAGTGGTTGGGTGCTTCGCGCTGGCAATTTGCTACTGATGAAGCTGGAACTTCCGAGAACAAGAATGAAGCTCTAAAACAATTTATTGCGGCGAATCGGGGTGACGAACTCGCCATCTTTCCTTCCTACCGCATCTTTTGCAGCTGTGTTCAGCGAAGTGTGATAGAATGGGAGCGACCCGCTTTGCAGCTACTCGAGCACTATCACACACAAACAGGATCGGTTTCAAGTCATTTAATTTCTGTACTGTTAGCAGATTCTGATAACGTACGCAGCGAACAATTTTTCAAGGAAACAAGTAAACGAGTACTTGGAAAGCTGCAAGAAGGTGCTCGTCAAGAGCTAAAGTTACTATTGCAACAAGAAGCTCGGCCTTATACACAAGACACACGTCTGTACGATGAATTGGACCGGCTTCGTCAACAAGCGCTAAGTGCCAAACTGGAAGCTGCACTTCCACGTGGAGATACATGTGGTCGAGTATCGTTGATTGACGTTACGCGTGCATTGGAAGAAATTTTATCGAGACCATTTGCTATGTCCTTGGACGATCGTGAAGTGCTGGAGATGGAAATTGCTTTGTCTGCTTATCTGAAAGTGGCTTCGCATCGATTTATCGATATGGTGCCTATAAAACTAAACGAAATTTTGCTGAAATCTTTTTTGCGTGAAATGGAAAATGAATTGCTCGAAGCAGCTTCGGATGAAAAGGTGGCAGAGTTATTACAAGAAAATAGTGATAAGGTGAGACGCCGTCAGCAGCTTTTTACTCAATTGTCCAGTCTTAAGAAAGGAAAGCAAATTATTGAAACGAGTACATCTTGGTAAGAAGAAGTCGAAAATATTGAGAAGGAAGTGAAGGACAAGTGGACTTTTTTGTTTAAATATTTGGAAACTGGGGGAGGAAGTTAGGGACAACACAGTAAATCGAAAACCGTTTTTTTAAGACCAGTGTGTGTGTTAATTAAGGGTAAGTCCTCCACCATTAAGTAACGTAGCTTTTAATAAAAATATTTTTTTGTATAAGTGATAGTAGTTATCACAAAAATTCAGTAAAAGTCTCGGGAAAATAAAATAAATTACATCGAAAAGAGCGTAACCTTTGTATATCATGTCGCAGATCTTGCAACGCCCAATCACAATATGACTCATTTTCGCATTTCCAAGTCATGGTCACAATCACCGAGTCGGAGCGCGAGGAATTCGTCGATGTCCTGGGCAGCGGCGGTATTTTCCGCAAGATGCTGACCATCAATACTGATGGTATTCAAGCAGGTAACACTTCATGTCATTTTTGTCATTCTGAGCATTGTACCCATTTCGAAATTGCAATAGTAAAATAAAACTTGACTTGTTATTCCTCTTTTAGAATTTGGGGAAGAAGTAGGCGTTATGTATTCGACATGGGTGCTTAAATCTGGAAAAAAGGTAACGTCAGACGAGGCACGTAAATTTCGCATCGGAGATGGCGAAGTCATGCCGGGTACGTCTTTGTTCCATATGTTTACATAATAATGTAGTTTACACTTTGGGGTATACTAATAACTAAGCTGGGATTTGTTTTTCTATATGTGAGATAGCACTAGAGCTAGTAGCAAAGATGATGCATGTTGGAGAAATATGTGAAGTACGTTGCGATGCTCGGTTTGCGTATGGAGACGTGGGATTGGAACCTCATGTGGCTCCTGGTGCAGAAATAAAGCTTTTGGTGGAACTCTGTCGCGTGGGTAAGAAGATTACAGCTGAAATGGGCTCTCAGGAGCTTATTGTTGAGGCTACACAGAAGAAAGAGAGTGGTAATCGTTATTTTAAAGAGAAGAACTATGAACAGGCAGCCAAGCTGTACAAGCGAGCACTTAAATTGCTAGAGACATGGGATCATTCGGACGAAGACACGGTGCAGTGTAAAGAGCTGCTAATTGCATTAGGAAATAACGTGGGAAATGTGCAGCACAAGTTGAAGCAGTACAAGGAGGCACGGCAGTCGAGTCTGGAGGTGCTGCAGCTTGATGGGAAGAATGTAAAGGCCATGTATCGCATTGGTCACCTCGCATTAGACCAGAGCGACTTTGACGAAGCAAATTCTTTTCTTCGCAAGGCGATGGAGATTGAACCGAAGAATATCAAGGTGCGTCAGTTGCTGGTGCAACTAAAGAAGAAGAAGCGCGATCAAAAGGCACTGGAGAGGAAGCTTTATGCAAAGCTGGGGGAAAGAAAAGTTACTGATAATGGGAAGACCGGTCAAACTGTCGGACTAGTTACGCGTGTCAGACAGAACCCGGTGATTGTCGCTGCCGTGGTCACAGTTATCATTGCGATTGTCATGTACATGTACATTGGAAAACCGAATTACGAGATCACTCAAACAAGTCTTTCTTCGCCAACTCCGAGCGGTCGCCATCAAGGAACAACGGCAAGATAGGGAATGAGGAATGACGTCTTACCTTCGCCTAGCACCGAAATGTTCAAAGACACCAACGTCATCCGCAACCCGGAACTGCACAGCCTTCGTAACCGACTGGAGACATCTTTTGGGGTACTTGAATGGCTGCGGACTTTGTAGAAATCTTGTCAACCATTACGGTAAATAGACAGTCTGTTCTCACATACACAAACACAATCCAGAGAGCTTCGATCATTCGCAAGACTAGCTAGTAGACTTGGTATATGCAATGATTGATGCTGTGTTTCTTACTACTTATGATCTGGACAAGTATAATTGCCAAGTGTTGTGACTGCCGAACGCAAAACCAATGCGGCAGACTTGCAAGCAAAACATATATCTTCTTATATGCATGTAGTCCAGTATGGCATAACACGCCTTCGTCCTCTGTACTTGGCTTGATGGAGGACGATAAGAGCAAGGTTGCCGCCAGTGTGTGCTTGATGGCGCTCGTGTGCAACCCCTTGGCTTATAAATGTCACGTAGTACCTCAGGTTCCAATGGATAATGGCTGATCCATCAATCTAGAATCGGTTGAAACCGCCCTAGCTCAAGCAGCCACCACCATCATAACTAGCCATTCCATCGCTAACATCCGTTGAAAGCTCACTTTGCAATTTACCAAATAGTAGACAATATCAAATTAATGACGACCGCTCCAAGAACGATTCACGCTTATGCCTGTTTTGGTAAAGATGAAGAAGTCAAGCCTTGGGAATATCAGTCACGTCCACTTGGTGCCAGTGACGTTGAGATCAAAATCTCCCACTGTGGTATCTGTGGCTCTGACTTGCACACTATTGAGAGTGGTTGGCGTCCATCGACGTATCCGTGTGTTGTGGGTCACGAGATTGTCGGTGAGGTGACGTTGGCTGGTCCCGATGTTAAAGATCTAAAGGTCGGTGACCGTGTGGGTGTCGGTGCTCTTGCGTGGTCTTGTCTGAACAAGGACCCGTCGGTTCCATGCAAGGAGTGCTCAAGTGGTGACGACGCCTACTGCGCGCAAAGGGTCTGGACCTACAACGGCACGTACAAGAATGATGGAGCGACGTCGTATGGAGGCTATGCTGATTACGTTCGTGTAGCCCACGAGTTTGCTTTCAAAATCCCGGACAATATTCCGTCCGACGTTGCTGCACCGTTGTTATGTGCCGGTGCTACAGTGTTTACACCGCTCAAAGAAGCCGGTGTAAAGCCTGGTAAACGTGTCGGCGTCCTGGGCATCGGTGGTCTTGGGCATTTGGGTATACAATTTGCTAATGCCATGGGTGCCGATGCTGTGGTGGCCTTCTCTCGTTCAGCAAACAAGGAGAAGGAAGTCCGTGACTTGGGTGCAACAGAATTTGTGGTGTATACGGACGAAAAGCAAGCCGAAGCTGCTGCCGGCTCAGTGGATGTACTATTGATTTGTGCTAGTGCTGAAAACATGCCATACACGCTCTTTTTGAGCTTTCTAGCTGTGCGTGGGTCGTGTATTATGGTGGGTCTTCCAAACGACGATGTCAAGTTCAGCCCTTTCAGCGTTGTCAGCAAGGGTGCTAAGTTTGTGGGAAGCAATGTTGGTAGCATTCAGGACATTAAGGATATGTTGGACGTGGCGTCGAAGAAGAACGTGCGTGCTGTGATCCAGAAGCTGCCGATGTCCAAAGCGAACGACGGTATAAAGATGGTGCGTAATGGCACGGTGCGCTATCGAGTGGTGCTTGAGAACTAGGTTTTGTACGTGTGCGAATCGCTTGAAAAAGATGAGACTTTGAAAACGTGCTCATTTTGTCTGACTGACTTTGTTGTCGCTTATCAACACTGCTGGGTTTAAGGGCACGACTCAACGAAGACTTACCTATGAAACAAAAATGAAGTTTGCGCCAAAACAATTCACACAGAATCATTCGTAATTGTACAGCTCCAGTTTAAGTGACAAGAGCTTCGATACGACAGAAGTTGCAAAAAGTCTCTGTTCATTTAGTTCTCCTTTCGCCTTCTCGACCATAATACTGATAGATGAATAATCTGCTTGAGATTATCACCTTGCTCGTTTCATATTTAGATTACCAAGCTTATCAATGCAGGCTTCAAAATCGTTTGAGACAATGGTTTTGATTTAGTGGTTCTGCGCACTGTTTGTTGTACATCCGGTATCTGCACTTTTCGACGTCTCTGCTGTGCTCGCGAATATAATGACTAGGGCAAAAAAGTTGACAATATCAAACTCTTCAGTCAATTACACTACGAAAAACCTTAGTGCCTTTTGTGTAGCAAACACGTTTGATTATGCACTAGGTATGTTTAAGACCTTGTGAAGGGTAGCGTCGTTCTCGAGCCATGGGTGTTTGGGTGGGCAATGGTAGCAGCTACTACCTTAGACCGACATGAACTGGTTGTTGGCATTTTCAGCGCTTGTTGAAAGTTGGAAGAGAAGGAGAAAAAGATTTTGTAATTTTGAGGTGAATGCAAGTAAATGCATCGTATTCGAGATGCTGCATGATACGCATGAACGTAGAGTGCTAATGTCACAATTTGCACTTCGAGCGTTTGTGAGTGTTGCGGACAAGGCGTACAAGTCCGACTTGGCACAAGATGCTGTTCCCATAATGCAGGATAAAGGAATGGCACTTTCGAGTGAGCTTTACAGCAATGTACTGAAGGCCTGTGGCAAGAATGAAAGGTGGAGCGATGTTCTGGAATTTTTGAAGTCAAGCTCGATGACATGTAAGTGGAACTAAGTGGCTCCGCTTTGAGTTCGGTAGTTATGGCAATTGCGAAAAGTAAGGTCGAGGAGCTATAGAGATAGGGCTCGAATTACTTATCGATCTTCCATCGAAATGGTTTAGATATGCGTGGAATGCCGCCATGGAGGCACTCGTACAGACCAAGCAGCTTGATAAAATTCTCGCTCTAGCGAACAAAATGAAAAATTACCGGCTAAAGTGGAGCCTGTTCACGTACTTAATGGTGGTATTGGCGCTCATTCGAAATGGGTCCATCGAGGAGGCAAGACAAGTGCTACATACCAAAGCAAAGCGCACAAAATTCATCGTCAGTACCTGTAGTTGTATCTTTTGGGCTGGAAGTGCTTTATGTTTTTCGGTCTGCCAACGGATCAGGTCTGACGAACATTATTGCCACGAAGTTGCTTGAGACGATGGCAAATCATAACCGCATTGACGACTGTCTGGAGATGCTGGACTCTTTCAAGGAACTTCTGAAGCCGACTGCCCGCGTGGCTGCATTCAGGGCGTTTTGTGCCTTAAGGGAGGACAGTCGGGCACAAAAAGTGTTTGAGTCGATGTTTTTCGATGATTTGGCCTTAAAGAGACAAAAAAATTCTCGACAAGCTTGATTGCTGCGATGAAGTTCGAGGTAGTCATGAACGTTATTGATCGTGTACGGAAACAAGGCAAGTACATCAGCATCGAGGACTATAAAAAGATTCAAGAGTGCTTCGAACACGATGAAAATTGGCGATTGACAATTCAGTTGCTGCCTTCAGTGACGCGGGACAGCTTTGGTTGATGACTGCGGTCCCTCCAATTTGGTGCAATGCATGTCAATCTTTCGGCAGGGTTTCATGCCAAATGAACGGTAATGGCGCTGAAATCGCAGACATGCTAGACATTCTCAACATCGGTGTGGAAGCCAGAATAAGTATCGTAACCGTAAGACATCTGTGAATGTAGTCGGAAAACGACAAGATCTCGAAGAGTGAGTTTATGAGCTTGTATCTTTCAAGGCTGAGCTTAGACGACGTACAAGCTTCTGTGGTTCTAAGAAAGTTCTTGCGAATCGTGAAAGTAAGCAGTTTTCATAACAGAACGAAAGCTAGAGGTCAACAGGTTTACTAAAAATTGGTTCTCGAGCACGACACGGTAGCGTACCGTGCTAATGCAAACCATCTTGATTTCCTAGTTCACCTTGCGCATTGGAATCTTTCAAATTACAAGACTCATGCTCTTTTTCGACGCCATCTTCTGAATATCATGGTGCGGGAAGTGAGCAGCTCGTTGTTGCGCCACGGCACGAGGCTTTAGAGAACAGATGCGTATTCAAGCCGATGATATGGGCGTTGGTTACGGCCTCGCACACAAACGTGATGACCTTCTCCTTAGGAGCGAGATACTTACTAGTGTAATAGTTGCAGAGCACGTCGTCGAGGGTCTCAAGGGCATCTGCTTTCCAGACACGAGACGCTCGTACAGATCTATGACATCAGCTGCAAACATAGCGTACACGTTGTTAGTGAGATCGTATCCCTCGACTGTGCTAAACAAGCTGAACACACTGAACACGCTGGCAACAGCAACGCCGACGCCGCTGAATCCTTGCTGGAAGACTCTGTAGGCAAAGTCGTGACTACTGCTTTTTCTGGCACCTAGCATCCGCAGATGACACCAAGCACATCAAGCACCCGCAGATGACACCAAGCACTCACTGATGACACCAGCACCCGCTGATGGTACCAAGCATCTGCTGACTTGCACGCCAACACAGGCAACCATCGTGACCACCATTATAGCGAGCACAAGTAAGACTACTTTGAAAACCAGCGCCGGCGTACGTATTCGTGACTCAGTCTCTTGGTCCATAACGGTTGGACCGTCACATCGTTATGCGTCGTCGAGACACTTCCACTCAGCTTTTAGCATTGCGACCAGAGCCCAAGCGTGGAGTTGGCAAATCACGTCGAGATACAGTAATCAGAGCTAGCCGGCACGACTTGCACATATGCTGTTGTCGCCGAGAGCTCCGCATATCGCATCCGCCTCGTACTTTAATCGTTAGCTCTACGAGTTAACTCCTTTGCCCATAGTCACCTTGTTTATTGAAGTCCGGCACATCCACGTCCAAAGCCTTGACGTACTTCTCTGCAAGGCCGAGCTACTTACGCGCCGTAAATGACGTCGTTGGATCGAGTTACCTCGAAGACGGAATTCCCAACACATCATCGACACCATCACTCTTTTCGCAGACCTGGTCGGTGGGTTTCTGCATCGAAAGCGGGAAAGGAGATGGTGATCTTTCGTCGTCTTGGAGATGGTGACTGACAGACGATGCGGCTGCCTACAGATTTTGGCATACCATCGTGCAAAGACAGTCGGCCGAAGATAGCGAAAGAAGAATGCTGTGTGTAATATTCTCGATACAGAAAAAGTGTGTGTCTGGTAAGATTCGTGCTGGCGGATGCGTTTGCGATGTAGTTCCAAGCGTATATCCTGCTAGTCGTAAGTTTAGACGGGCACTTCTACACGAAGTTGCCTCGTACTACTAGCACACACCTTATGCACAAGCGAGGAAGCGGTTAGACCGTCTTACCTTCGCGTGCGAGGGTGGTTGGGAGGTTGGTCGACTGCGTAAGCAGTCGTACCACCAGTTGCCTCTCGCTTAAGCGAGAGTGCAACGAAATTCTTAACACTAAAGCACCGACGTCACGCAGACGTCTTTCAACTTCTCGTGCGTGGTGCGTTTGTTTAAGTAAATTCAAGACTGAGCTATATTTAATTAATTATAACTAAGTATATACATATCTACTGGCTATATATATATATAGATCGGATACGCGACTCTTTAGAAGCGTATCATGTCGCATGATCTTAAATCTAGATTTAAGATCGCAACTGACGTCCTTCTGAGACGTCGCGATGCCTATCTTCAACTAGCGTCATCCCTTCTTATGTGAATCCATCAATGGATATCACATTCACGAGGGTGGATCACATTTGTGTATCGCACCCAAGTAACAGGTCAAAAGTAATCATGGATACTTTTAGACCAAACATTAAGTATATTACTAAATGTTTACGTGTAGCTAGATGCCCTTTTACACCATCCCCCGTTTTAGAACGATGTTTACATTTTGTAAAACATCGCCTAGGATACAGAGAGACTGCTAGCCGTTGTAAAACGCGCCGCTAAGTCTACTCGATTCTCATGCACCGAAACGTGGTAAGGCTGATGGGTCGCCTGCAAAGTCACCCATGCAGTCCAGCACTAAGCGCACGCGCCGCGATTTATCGCAGCCGTCGCAAAGTGCGTCAGGCACTGGGGTGGATCTTCCATCTCACGATAATGTGGATGAAGATCCATCTCTCATTGTAGACTACAATGAGACCACACCACTGCCATTACCCCAAAGTGGCGATGAGCATAGTGCATTGATGGGACGTATGTCCCCATCATTTAAGGCACCCGTCCTTGAGGAAGCATCTATGCTTCCTACAAGCGAAGGTAAAACCCCGTCGTCTGCGCCTACGAGCGCAGCGACTAAGACTGAGCGCGCTACTTCGAAAGGAGTAGTCGCGACTCAGTCAGATGTTACTTCTCAGGCTGATGTCTTGACAATCCATAATGGAGAGTCAGACTCAGGTGAGTGTGACCTTAAAGCTCCACCAAGTACACCTTCGGCTCACTAGCCCGCCGTCGTGAGGGCAGCTACGTGAGTGGTGGCTTGCCACCAATGCCACCCCCATCTGAGTGGATGAACTCGGATGGGTCTAGCGCAGCGCTTTTGCAGCGTGCCACTATAGACGCTCATAGATTCTATAGCGTCTTTCCTTTGTGGAAAAAGCAGGGCAAAGCACTTGGTCGTGCTTTCCCAATTCCAGTCGTGCTGCGTTCTAACGAAACAGCCGACGACTATGAAGCTGAGCTTCGGCGCCGTGTTACCTTGCATGAAGATGCAACGAAACAGCGGTCGCAGCGAATCAGCTTCGCCATGAAGCGTGCGCATGACATTTTGGGTGATAAGCGACCCCCAATTAATTCTCGCCACGCTTCTTCTGCTAGTCCTTCCGGACCTAGCAGAAAGAAGACAGCTGGTGCTGCTTCACATAAGCAGTCACCAGCCCAGGCACGTAAACGCGCAAAGCGTCCACAGGCTCCCACGAGTCAAAGCTCGTTGGGTTACCCGTCCACTGGACCAGGATTTTGAGCTTTTGCTTCACAAACCGGTGGGTCAACAGCCTTCCAACAAGGAAGCGCGTATTCCCTTCCGTGTACATCAACACAGGTGGCGACTGATAGGAGCGGCGATTACGTCCACCCACTCGCGGCTGCCTACTCTGCTGCTGTTCAGTCGCAGGCTGAGTCTGCTGCTCTGAAGAGGCAGGTGACAGATCTCGAGAGTCAAGTCTCGCGACTGATCTCGGATCTGCGCGATGTGAGGGCGAGGGATCGTCAGGGGTATGACCGCCTGAAGACCCGCTTGGACATCTTAGAGCGACTGGTGATGAGAGACCCGCGTCAAGCGCGGAGTCCTCCTCGATCGCCGAGTCCTCTATCGCCTCGTTCGTATACGGGGAGCCTATCGGATTCATCGTCGCCTGATCGGCCGCGACGCTCAACTCACAGTCGACGTCACCATCGGTCTCGTTAGACCGATGCGGATATGTGATCTCTTCTGGATCAACATACCGTTTCAGACGACCCACGTAAAATACGGGGTGCGTCTTCATATAGGGTGGGAGAGTGAGCCTATAATTTAGGTCTCCAACTTCTTCAACCACTGTAAAGGGCCCAATGAACCGGGGCAATAGCTTAGTAGTACCACCAGGTAGTACAGAAATTGCATGTTTAGGTAGGGTAGCATTACTTAATAGCACTTTGTCCCCCACACTAAAGTGTTCATTGTTTTTGCGACCATGCTGGTCTGCATATTGTTTTTGCTTGTCCTGTGCGCTTGCCATCGCGTCACGGACTTTACGTGTGATAACTAATCGCTCATCCAAAAAGCGCTGAGCTTTGCTCACGCTTTTAGAATCCAGATCGCCGATGACGCCTCCAAGAGGTCGTTCATGGGTCGACGCTGTTGATAACACTATAGTGTCATCATCAAGGAGCCCTGGCATTTTCTTGCCGTGCCTACCTATAGGTGCCGTGACCACTGCTAGAGTAGCAGTGTCACTAGGGAAACCTTGGCCCTCTTTTTCATTTGCACCGAGCGAAGTGAGGGGCCCTTCCCCACTAAAACTCGGGATGCGTACAAACGAGACTGACGTTCGAGGATGACGCAGTCCGTTAATGCAAAACGGCGTTTTACCCGTACTTGCGTGAACACTTTTATTGAAAGAGAACTCCACGAATGGAAACTGCTTGCTCCATTCTTTGGGAGTCGCTACTGTACGCAACACATCCGCCACGACTCGATTGGCCCGTTCTGTTTGGCCATCGGTCTGGGGATGATCAGCGGTTGACATGTGGAGCTTGCTACCCAGCAGCTCGAACACATGTCGCCAAAAACCCGACGTAAAACGCGGATCCCGGTCCGATGCTATGGACTCGGGTATCCCGTGTAGTCGATACACGTGATCCAGAAACAAGAGGACAGCCTCTTTTCCAGATGGTGCCAAATGCACCATCTTGCTCAGTCTCTATACAAAGACGACGAGCCCCGTCCTTCCTTTATGGTCAGGCGGTAAGCCAAACATGAAGTCCAAACTGACCGACTTCCAACATTCAGTTGGAATCGGTAGTGGCTTCAGTGGCGCACTGTTCGAAGGTGCAGGCTTTATGCGCTGACACTCTTCGCAAGAGCGAATATAGTTAGCCACCCACCGATATAGGTGGGGCCACCAACATTCCTCTGACACTCGTAAAAATGTCTTTTCACGGCCCAGATGCCCACTAGATGGCGCATCATGGCACTCGTGAAGCATCATCAGCTTGAGATCTGTGTCATGAGGGACATATATTCTCAAGGGATCACAGGGTGACAGTTGATGCCATAACAGGCCATCACTGTAACTAAAGCGATTTAGTTTCGCTTTGAGGTGCGACGGAAGGGTAACTTTTCGTCCACCAAAATGATCCAACAGCAGGCGACAATGCTCGTCCTGACTGTAACACTCCTTGATATCGGAGGCCATTGAGCTCGTCACATGGTAGGCCTTCATGGATGCCAATGTTGACGACTCAACCTGTGCTTTCGCACGAGACACACTCTTCTGGTGTCTTGCCTCGAAGTCTGTTCTGCGCGATAAAGCGTCAGCCAAGACATTCGACTTACCCGGCTTATATTCAACTTTGAAATAGAATCGATAAGAATGTTAGCCATCTCGCCATCCTAGGCGAGAGGTGTGCTGCCGCGCTCAAAGCGTCTTCCGCCCTACTATGCAAGAACAAATTGTCAAAACACATGGGGCGCGTAGGCACGGTGCTGACGCATCACGTGAGCTACCACTGGATTGAATGTTGCCGGAGCATTTTTCAACCCTTGTGGCATCACAAGCCACTCTCACAGCATACCGCTTGGGGTGCTTACTGCCGTTTTGGCTACATCGGTATCTCTCATGAGAACCCGATAGTAGCCATCCTTCAGAATAACGCGAAAAGATAGTTGACTTTCCCATGGAATTCAACAAGACATCTTTCCGCGGGATCGGCGTTTGAGCCGGAATGGTGGCCGTGTTCAGCTTATTATAAGCATGAGCCACGCTCCATCCACCCGTGGCTTTACGCACACAGAAGGTCGGGCTGCAGTGAGGCGACTTGATCTCACGTACATGTCCCGCCTTGGCTCGCTTGTCGAAGAACTCATCGATGTAATCGGCTTGTTACTTCGGAAACCGCCATTGACTGGTCACACAATACTTGGTGCCAGGATCCAGATCAATCTCGTGCCTGATGCCCCTATCGGCCGGTAGGCGGCTCGGCACTTCTGCTAAAAACACATCACGGTGTTTCCACAGAACATCATAGAACGGGCTGTCCTTCAAGGCATCCCAGCCTTGAGCAGCGAACCTTTTCTTTTTGTCGGTCTCCAAGACGCTCTCATCCATTGTGGATGAAGAGCAACAGTCCACCACGTTCTCTTCTGGAACTGGTGCGACTATCTCGTGGATCTTTCCTTCCTTTAGTTCGGACAGGAACAGATCCCACGTCATCTCCGAGAGATTTACTATCTCCTCGGCAGATGCCAAGACAAGTTGGAGCACCTTAACTGAGGATGCCTCCGGCATTTTGTCTTCGACGGCCTCGAACAACTCGCTCGTAGGTCC